GTTTGGGGTAAGAATAAACACAGCAATGTTATTTGTAGTGATTATTTATGGAATGGAGGATGAGATGCGAAATCTCAATGACGGGGTAAGGAATATATCGTTGCTAATAAGATTTCTGGGCCAAACAGTAAACATAGATTGTTGCGCTATCGACTCGCATCAATGATTTTGCGTAACTGCCAAAGGAGCTCAAACCTCTCGTCTCCCAAGAACAACTTCTTCCGAATATACGAAAAGCCGCCAATTTCTGGGTTAAACACGTGTAGGAAATTAGATCAGTACATCTTTGTACTTTCGCAATAAATTGGTGCAATGATTCATTAGAATCACAAATGCATGCCAAGACCTACACGTAAAAAATATATATGCTATTAATTACATATTGCCTTAAAATTGGCTTGGAAAATAAAATGCACTCACTCCACTTCGCACGTTTACAACTTCGCTACTGAATATATATTTTTCAAATATATACTGTAAGGAAGAATCATCATGTAATTTTTATAAATTAGTTCTGCTGTTAAAAATACGCAAATCAACAAATGTTGATGAGAATGATAAATATCTGGAGCAAACGAGGGATCTTCGTCTATCTGATCGTCAATTACTACGTGGTGGAGCACACAGAGACCGTCGAAGCGAGTGAATACACTGGATCGTCACTTCTAATTTTAGCACAAAGGGTTGGGATGTGTTAGTATGTGTGATGTTGAGTCGGTTGTTACGCTCGAAGGGATATATAACCAGTGGTGTTTTACGCCAGAGGTGATGATGGCCTTTTTCAACTGGATCCCCGGAGCCTTTTGGCACTCTCCATTGAATCTCCCGCCACCTGTTCCTGCCAATCCATTTGAAAATTGATGCTTTGAGCAAAACCATATTTATAATCCAACAAGACGCAATAAACTCCAAGCACATCACTAGTGCCTACATTTTCCTCAACACCAGGGGTGGAATCACACATTTATCTCATCCTCGCATCATCAACGATCAACGAACTTCACCGATAAACAACGAACGCTACACTGTCGAGTGCCAGGTGCTCTATCATTACCAAAATTTATGGTTTAATAACTTCTATCAGTTTATCCTCAATTCAACGGATTGATAAACAACAGAGCAATTTAGTTAATGGGAAAGTTCTCATCAACTGAGTGAATAAACTCACCGGCCAGTGTCCATCCTCCCCCGACCCCACGCCCGGTTGCCGACTGTATCCGCTGCATTTAAATTTTAAAAACTTTTGTAATTTTTTCTTCTCATTTTTCACTTGACCTAGCTTGCCAATCTCCACCGATGTGGCAGACCGATCGATACTTTGACACTACACGTTCCATTAGTTAGGAGAAAGCTCGAGGGGTGGCTTCTAATAGAATAGAGGAAAAATATTACCGACTATTTTCGGAAAAGTATCGGGAGAACATGAAAATTGAGCAGGTATCTACTGATATTTGAAAACTCGAAATTTTCGAAAAAGTATCAGGGGAGCATGACAATCGAGGAGGTATTCACTGAAATTGAAAAATTCAAAATTTTTGAAAAAGTATCAGGGGAGCATGACAATTGAGGAGGTATTCACTGAAATTGAAAAATTCAAAATTTTTGAAAAAGTAACAGGGGAGCATAAAAATTGAGGAGGTATTCACTGAAATTGAAAAATTCAAAATTTTCGAAAAAGTATCAGGGGAGCATGAAAATTGAGGAGGTATTCACTGAAATTCAAAAATTCAAAATTTTTAAAAAATTATCAGGGAAGCATGAAAATCGAGGAGGTATTCACTGAAATTGAAAAATTCAAAATTTTTTAAAAATTATCAGGGGAACATGAAAATCGAGGAGATATTCACTCAAATTTAAAAATTCAAAATTTTTAAAAAAGTATCAGGGGAGCATGAAAATCGAGGAGGTATTCACGGAAATTTGTAAATTCAAAATTTTTGAGAAAGTATCAGGGGAGCATGAAATTATCAAAAAATACCCTCGAGCGTCATATACGTGTGAAGCAAGTCGTGTTCTCACTCCGTTGAATGACCCCATAAATTTATATTCACCGTATGCAATAAATAACAACATTCGATGCATTGAACACCATTATCGTATCACTTTATCCATGCACTGTTATTTTTACGTTATGGAAACCGATATATTTCACCGAGGGAATGAAAATTGGATTCATTACGCAAACGCACGTACCCCCGTATACGCCCGTTGTTTCGATCAATCAAATCGAACGATGTTATCCATATTTTTCATTTGTAAAGCCACACCTCGTGATGCGCATCAATTAACCGCTCACTCCAAACCGATTGCAAAATTTATTTATACCGACTGGATAATGTCAAGTGCACCTCTCTGAATACCCTCCATCCTTTTTCGTTATTTTTATTTCAATTTTGAAAAAAAATATTCCACTCATTGAATTATGGAATAAAAAATAATAATTCGACTTGTATTTTCACTTATATCATTTACCCTTAAGAATAATTTCAGACTATTTTAACCAAGAGTTACGTTGCTCTACGGATACTCAAGTAACTGACTTACAACTCAACTTCTTGGACCTTATTTTAGAACCTTTCAGGGAACTGAGATAGAAAATCTTTGCATCGCCGATTTCAATCATTCTCGAATCTAGGTGATATAATCTCAAATGGTACCGAGAATGAATTCAGTTACGTGAAGTGATTTGCTAATAACTCTCCGGCGATTGTAGGAAATTTCAGGCGCTTCGAATATTGGAGAAAGCCGCATATCATCAGGAATAATCGGATTCATGTGAATGAGTGGTGATTGAAATGAAGATGAATGAAATACCGCGGAGAAGAGGTAATGGAATAATCCTCAAAATCTGAATTAAAGCAAGCGACATATTTCACGTCATTGAAATTTGAAATAAATGACAGATGCCATTTTTCAATGAAAAACCATAAAATTCAGATGAATTTATGAATAAAATAATAATAATAAATAAAACACAGTGTCCGTCAACTGCCATTAACATTCAATTTTCCGGAGTCCGACTGCCTAAAAAATATAATTTTTCCGTTGAATCATTTCCGTTCTCAATGTCCTCATATCGATAATTAGACGACGCGACATGAATACCGAGTAATATTATCCCTCTTTTTCCTCCCACTCATTATGACCAGTCGTAATCTATCTTCACTTTATCTCTCTTCCATGCTGGGGAAATATCGATCCCGGACCCTCCACACGTGTTACCGTAACTCAGTACCATCTCGTATCGATAGCCAGTATTCTCCATTTATATTCCATTACTCCACAAAGATGAACACATTTATGTACCATATTTATGTACACACAACCCTCCCAATCCAACTTTTTATATATTCACTCATCCCCTTATTTTCTGCCATTCCATAAAAACTAACGTGCACTGTTCTACAAATCGTTCCTGAAATATATCGATAAATATTCAAATATTTCCAAAGAAGTTTCCAAAACTCCAAGATTTTCCTGAAAATAATAGGACTAACGAAAATAATAATAAATTAATAGTTTATATAATTGGTCCTTGCGAATGACTTATTTAATTCGATTTTCTGTGGAAAATTAATTAATTAGGTATTATTTATCGTAATTAGTTCACAATGGAAAATAGAGGAGAAAAATTATACATGAAAATCGATACAAATATATTTTTTCCAGCGAAAAATTTTTTTTCTGTCACAAAAAAAATGATAAAAAGGTATCACCTCGTTAATAATGAGTCTAGGTAATTCAATATTTTTTACTCCAGTTTGAATGCCGCATTCAGAATAATATTGTAATGAACGCCGAGAGAGAAAAGTAACGACCCATGCTATTAATTTTGATGACAAATGAAGCTCCATTGATTAAATAATTCCGGATAATTGGACGGCTTCCCCTAATCATTAAAACAAGATCGTCGGAGTTATCTCATAATGAATCCCAGAAGCGGCAACAAATCCCAGTAAAAAAGTATGTGAAAAATAAGAGAGTAACGCAGCGGAGAAGTAGAAAAGGTTAAAAGGCATTTTCCATCCAGAGTGGAAAAACAAAGACCTCAAGAATATTTTATTATGTCGTTCGTCATCACGAGGGTTTTATGAGCGGAAAAAAAATTGAAGAAAAGCTGAGCGACAACTCACAATCAGACACTTTCCCGTTAATTCAGAAGAAAATTCTGCATTCAAAGTTCAATATTATTTATAATTCCAAAAAATCATCCGATGTGGAGCGATGTTGTAACTAATAATAAATATTCGTACATTTTTTCAGGATTAATGTTTTATCAAAATTTTTGTCGTTTAAAAATATATGAGATCACATTTATCCCGTCACCTTTATATTTCCCGTGGGGATTATTCAACCGCCCATCGCAAATTCCTGGATAAGAGTGAAGTTTAGAGATGAAAGTCTTGTCCCTCAATTGGTGTTCGAGAGGAGGAAAAAACGATGAAAATGGTGGAAAATGGGGAAAAACCCGGAATGGAGGTCAAACCCTTTACTATACGATGTATTTTCATGTTGCCCCTGCTCTCATATCCGCCATTCATGCTTTCCTTTCTACCTCCACGTCGGAAGCGAAGAAGAAAATATGCGGTCAGAATATTCCGAGCACAGGAGCACTGATTCAAGAGAATTCAGAACAGCTAAAGAGAAATTTCCTATCAAACTGCCTATCAAAAATTTTTCCATTAAAAATCCACCGACATAAAAAATTGAGGCAAGTATATCATTAAATTTCCACTGAATCCTTTTTAACGACACTTTTTTGAAAAGTAGTTATCGATAAACGGTAAAATTTCTATTATTCCACCGGCACTCGCAAAAAAATTCTGAATTGCCGTTTGTCATTAACATTTAGTCGCTCTTTAAAAAATATCGTCATTTAATTCCAGTAGAAATGAATTGGTTCACATAGAAGCGATAACTCTCCTCATAAAATCCATGAAACTCAGGTCAATCATTCCTGATAACGTTGTAATTATTAAACCCAATGTAATCCAGCATTAATGTGTTCGATCTATATCTGTATCTCCGCTGAACTGCCCATAACTATAAGTAACAACTAGAATTAATAAAACTCGTCTGTCGGTGCACTTTCATTGCCACTCATAATACCACTATGTATCCATTATCATCTGAATATAATTAGTCTTGAATGACATGTTTATCCTTGATGTGCCACATTGCATGAAATTTCCAACTCTTTTGCTGCCCACACCAACTCTAATTTTGTTATGAATGAGCTTTCTCGGTTATCGATTAATTTCGTTGACCTATCAACCCATATATTATAATTATAATTCATTATAATATTTGCACTCTTTCTGAATATTTATTTATCACCTCTGTGAGAATCCAATGTAATAGAAAATCAACCGATTGTTGATGAAAAAAATTGTTTTGGAGAAGAGATCACTGTCCCCAACATTTCTGTGGATGATCTATGAGTGGAATTGGCGTTTTCCTGGACCATCGCACAGTTAACAGGAATTCCACCATCGATTTTGCGTGTCTCCCGGGGTGCGTGTGAAATTCATCATGCCTGGCTCGACTGGAACATCAATGCAATATTTTGCTTTCTGAATTATCCAGTTATGTGCAGTTGCTGCGATTTGCGTGGGTGAATAAACAAAAGCATATGGTAGGTGTGGATTTTTTTTTTGCTAACCTTTATCACCCCCTGCAGCTTACCAAGATGATTTATCAGAAAAAACTATAATCCGGTATATAGAGGTGGAAAAAAAGGAGCGCAATTTGCCTGAGGAATTATAGGGATTCCTCTTCATAAAATGTAATTGAACGTCCAGCGATTAATCCTCATTTTTACGTCCCGCGGGATATCTACATTTTCCTTTTCCCTTCCATATCGTCGTAAAGATTAAGTTGTTGGAGCTGAAGACCCAATAAACTTTTCTGGAAGAAAAAATACGGCGGAACTCGCAATCACTGCAGAAACTAATCAAAATGAGAGGGAGAGAGTGAGTGGGTTTACAATTACCGGGGAGATCGGTGGTAATGAATTTTATTGGTGAATAAAATGTCAATAGGCTGACATGTTTGCTGATAACGTAAATCAATTCTTTTCCATTGATACATTTATACATGAACCCAAAGAATTAATTACACACAAGCCAGAAGATCGGTTAGAAGACGTAAGGACACTCACAAATTTACGGATTTACACATTTAGCGGTGATGTTATGAATTTTTGGGGAATTAACTAGGATAAATATAGAGAGATATAATGGAATATGAGGAAGGATTTCCCTGGTGGATGAACGGGACAGAAAAGAAATGTACGTTGAGGATAATGAGGAAAAAGTACATAAGGGGAAAAAAGGACAAATCGAGTTAGGAAAAGGCAAAAGGCAAAAAAAGGGCGGAACTCGGTTTCTTTTTATAGTGGCACATGGAGCACGGAAAAGTCCTTATCTCGTTCAGACAGATCGATACGCACAGCGCGGGGTGAAAATAGCACGCGCCACCGGCAAGCCCTCGACATTGGGGTTGTGCCCGATTCGATGCTGCCAGCAATTCAGAGTAAAAATTGGTGGGTTATCGGAATTGATGTGAATTTTCCATATTCAATCGATATTTATTCATAGAAAAATGACCCCTGAGTGAACTATTAGAAAATTTCTCCTGAAATTTCCAGCAAAAATATTTGAAATTTGTAGCAACAATTTTCACGACCCTCTTATCGAAAATTTCCGCGAAATTATCAATGATTTTTTTTTTTTCGGGGAAATTTCTACGATTTTTAACTCATTTGATCTCGATTCACTTCGATACTGAAGCCTCTTCGGTTAGTTGTCAAGAACAATCATAAACAATGGAACAATACTCGAGAAAGAGAATACCCGGATGTTTGTTAAGTCGATTTGTCAGCTACTCGAAACATTATCCGTTATCGAGCCAATATTCGCGTCGATTCAGCATTAGACATGCGTCAGTAATAAATTCCGCGTGGTGAATGTTATGTAAACAATGATAAGTTACTGACCTGAAGATGCGTCACGATAAGTTGACAATGTGAGAAAAAAAAAAAAGGGAATCCCCTGATTATGTGATGAAACTCATCAATTTTAAAATCGCTAAGACACTCCGTAATCCTCTTTATCAGCGACTGTCATCGATACCCAAGTGATTATTAAAAATAGATACCTCCATTGCTTTGAACAATCGTCAATGCAATAATCTCTCACTTTGGTGTGCTCTCGTCGGTGTAATCTAAATATAAATCCTTCCTTCTCTGAAGTGCTACTTGTCTTGTCGAATAATTTATATTTGCAAACAGAAATGAACAGTGTACAGTTAAAGAATAAGTGAGAATTCCGAGGAGAGTTGATGTGTATTCAAGAAAAATGTGTTACAACATGACAATTTTATGGTAGGACTACAGTGAGTGATAAAGCGACATGAATACTCAGACAATTTCATTTTTTTTTACTAATTTTTTTTTATCCCATACGATTTCATTGTGCATGTTGTCGTGTATTATGTGTCATATACCCACATGGAGAAAGCCAGTAAAAATTGATAAATAAATAATAAAAAGATATTTAAATAAAAAAATTACACGATAGAAATATTATAATATTATATAGATAATTGATTTTTTTTTTGGATTACGCTTTTTAGGAGCTGGAGGAGATTTTCATATGAGATATAATATTGTTCACGCTTTTGTTTTTTATTTTATATTTTCCACTCGTCAGACTAGTCAAGGATAAAGTGCACTGAAGGTGCATCTGAGGAAATTTCTTTTTATAGCCCCAGCACTATGGAAGCCCTTGTGTACGAGTCTCCCGTTGACTCGGACGGTATAATCGATTGTCTCTCGATAAAAATAAAATTAAAAGGAATAAGGAGGGGCTGGAGGAATGAAATGGGAATAGAGTTGTGGAGTTTTGTTTCAGTGGCAATATAGCCTCCAGGGAGAAAGACAGGAATAAATTCAACATATACGACAGCCGTTATTTCCGGATGAACGAACATCCTATTGATTTGATTTGATGGACCCACCGATGCCCGCGTATTATCATTCGATGAATTTCACAATCCTTGACCCAGAAAATTCAGCGTTATTCCTTTTATCAGGCAGGTTTGAACGGCGATGGTTATTGTAAACACAGGAAGTTCATGGAGTATAATAATTAGTATAATGTAAAAACTCGCTGGAAATTCTGACTTAGGATTGAATTTATTATTGAAATTTATGTGGTTACTGTAATGGATCCAGGATTACAATTGAAATTTAAGGATTTAGTTTATCATACCCATACTCATACTCATACCCATACCCATTGAGGACGAATTAGCCCTCATGGAGGGATTTTTAATTTTTTCACATTTTGAAAAATTGACGCTTGAAAAATTTTTTGAAAAATTCACCAATCGCGCAATAATGAAAATTCCGGGAAAAAGTGGAGAGTTCTGAGTAGCGGATCGACCAGCAATTCGTGATGAGGGTGAATTAACCCTCATGGAGTGATTTTTAATTTTTTTCACATTTTGAAAAATTGACACTTGAAAAAATTTTTGAAAAATTTTTTGAAAAATTCACCAATCGCGTAATAATGAAAATTCCGGGAAAAAGTGAAGAGTTCTGAGTAGCGGATCGATCAACGATTCGTGATGAGGGTGAATTAACCCTCATGGAGTGATTTTTAATTTTTTTACATTTTTAAAAATTGACACTTGAAAAATTTTTTGAAAAATTTTTTGAAAAATTCACCAATCGCGTAATAATGAAAATTCCGGGAAAAAGTGAAGAGTTCTGAGTAGCGGATCGATCAGCGATTCGCGATGAGGGTGAATTAACCCTCATGGAGTGATTTTTAATTTTTTTACATTTTTAAAAATTGACACTTGAAAAATTTAAAAAAAAATTCACCAATCGCGTAATAATGAAAATTCCGGGAAAAAGTGAAGAGTTCTGAGCAGCGGATCGACCAGCGATTCGTAATGAGTGTGAAATAGCCCTCATGGAGTGATTTTTAATTTTTTCACATTTTGAAAAATTGATATGAAATGAAAATTCCGAGAAATGAATTCACCAAGCTTTATGACTACCTATTTTCAGCCTTGTGATAAGACAAACCGAATAAACAAGGTTTTAAATAGTCCCAAGGTCCAGTCGTGAGTTTATTGTTGGAGAATTTCGAGCAATACGTACGAACATCCACGGTATTGAAAGGTCATGGGGTTGGGCTTGGGATCAAATTCGGTGAGATGTGATGAATCGATCCAATCGATCCAATCAAGGATGATGGCATTGAGCCTAAGATGGAGGGGATCAATTGGGAAATTACAAGCACCGATGATCTTTCTTTGGGGCACACATAAATAGTTTCAGGAGGGTAGCTTTGAGAAGATGTTGAGTGGGCGTTTTCAATCCTATCTCTGAGAAATCACCAAGGCCTTCTCGGACAATCGCTTCACGCGTCATTTCCCACAGGAAGAGTGATGAAAGAGATTCCATTTTATTTTCCATCATTTTCCAAATTTTTCCGTTTTAGTATCTGATTAAAAAGCAACTTCCCCATCGAAAATCCGGGACACACAACTTTTCTTATAATTCATTTATTATTACTCCAAAAATTAATTCTCAACCGAATCCACTGCAGAAATTTAAATAACAAATGAATATTTTTTAATGATAATTCAATTTGTAATTGATTATTTGGTTGGATTGCCTCGTATTGTGTGGAAAAATTATTCGAATCGGTTGTGAATGAGTGAAGAGTGTTTGTGAAATTTCCCGACAAATTAACAAGCGCGATGAATAAGTAAATGACAGGAACATCTCTTCATGCACTTAGGTACAGTAAATACATTAATGCCTCGGTGACTCTCTCCCCTCGGCTGAGTGGTCCAGTGACGTCATTTGGCGCTCCTTTAACGTTGTGTTACCGATAAAACAAAACATCCCATCCGTGTTAGCTACAGACTCCAAAGAAAATTTATTGGCTTACGACGTAGTACAGCTCGCTATTATCTATCACAAAGTCTAGGACAACATCTATCCGACTAGAGTCTTTTGGCACGAGAAATATTTTTCACGCGATCGCACGGTACACAATTCCCCTCATGTACTGCTGTGCATGTGTCGGTTTTTCTTTTTTTTTCCTCTTTTTTTAGATAGTGGCGTCGTGTTATCCGAGGCTTACAAAACCGTCGAGATCGACCACTTGCGCACACTCGAGACAAATGCGTCGACCTCTCGAATGAAATTTCTATACATATGTATTATCAAAGAGAATTTCCTATGTTCTATGTATTCGCAATTCTAAATATATTTCATCCAAGATTATGGAAATTAACATTTTCGAAATAAATATTTTTGAATAAAAATTCAATTCGATTACGTTTTTCGATTATTTTTTTTTTCCAAAATTTGTAGTGAGAAGACACTTTTATATAAATACTTTTCGAAAATGGAATTGTTGGGATAAAAATTAACACTGCGCTGCTAAAATATTATTATTATAAAATATATTAATGTATGAAATTTCAATTGAATTCAAATTTTGTAAATTTGTAAAAAAAAAATGTTCTATGTGCAATTTTAATGAAATTCATTGGGAAATGAAATAAAAAGGTAAATTTCGTCTAGCAAGATTGCCACCCCTCAACCCCTGTCTTTATAATATCGATTGGCTCTCCCTTTTGGAGCAGAGTCCACGAATGACGTCAATCCCCGAAGTCCAGGAAGCCGGGGTAACGGTCCACAGTGTTTCTGGAGTTTTCACAACCGAGTGACCTTGCCCCCACTCAACATACAACTGTTATCTCCACCTCTCTTTTTCATGGTCAACAGAAAAAGACAGTAACCAGTCAAAATCCACTGTGCCACTTCAGGGTCGCCTCAACAAACTCCACTGGATTTTCAGGCAACCTGCGAAGTGTCAATGGAGATAAACATTTCAGGCAATTAAAATCCACTCAACCGCAAACATTGGCCGAGTCATGAATTAAAAACCGGGGGTAATATTTGACAGATGACTCGCAATAGATCATTGACTAGATACTGGAGCTCTTCCATGGCAGACCGAGTATTAAATTTCCCTAAACTTTGCAAATTATAATATTTCAATATTCCAATATTCCAAGTCCAAGATAATCAAGAGTTTAATCATTACAAAATAATAATTAATGAACGAAGAATTATATCTTAATTAATTATATTTTAATTATAATAAATCATGAACTACCTGAATGAACTTAATTACCAGCTCAGGAGTGGTTCCTGTTTATCCCCATTTCTTTCCCAATCTCCGATATTTTTTATTGGAGCTTTTCGCGAATGCTCAATAAGCATTCGCCCATCGGTAATCAATGGTTTGAGGTATTGCGAGTGCAATCGATTGGCAACCCACTTATCGTCCCAATGGCATCTAGAACGCCTCCGAGCTTTCAAGAGAATCATCCAAAGGGGCAAGTTGAGGCAGTGGGGGAATCATTCCCCTCCGCCCATCCCAATTCCATCGTGTCCTTCACGATCAAGGTCACTCTGATGCTCAAGGTCGCTCGATGGTACGCGCACGTGTCATTCCCCGCACCTAGATTCCCCGGGATAAATTCAAATCGACGAACAACTCCATCAACTCCTGGAGATCGCAAGACTCCAGGCTCAGTCTGCAAAAAATCATCCAAAAATTACTGCACATTTTCATCTGCGCATCAGGGTATGGAATTTCAATATTTTCCGTTTTCTATTTTCAATAGAATTTGGGAGAATTTTTTTAGTGAAATGATGGAATAGAAAAGAGTAATAATCACTAGTCCACTGCAATAAAAAAAAATAGAGAATATTCGATGAAAATATTTTGATGTAGAGTGTAACCATCTTCCGGGTGAGTGATTCATGCATTCTATCATTTGAAACCCAATTAAATGCTAATAATTTGATGAAATTAATAATCAGGGTATTAATTGACTGGGGTAAACTCCAATCAACGGACAACTCCGTGAACTCCTGATGGGGCTCGCAAGACTGCTCTCAGCAGCGGATCCACAACAACTCATACATGTCGAAATTCAGTGCCAAATGCTGATACACAAATACACATAAACACATTAAATCACTGTCACTAGTTGTGACCCAATTTGCTAGAACGCATCGAATCGGTTCGCTAACATTCAACCGATCATCAAGAAATTATCATTTCTAGTTGAAATTTCTCGCAATACCATTTATCACTTTAAAAATCTCAAAATAAACTGAATCTAATACTCAATCATTCTTACCCCGGATAATTCGCTGATGAATTCAGTGGCAAGTGTAAACAACACGAGAATTATTGGATTTAAGGGAATAATTAAACTTCAGCTGCAGGTTCATTAATCCTCGCTGGAGGGAGCATCATTTTTCATCCTCCGGGACACGTGATTCATTTCACGGGATGATCCTCATCATTGTTCCATTCCTTCTCCAGGGTATTTCAAGAAATTCAGGAAATTAGAGAAAGGCTCTTCAAGGGTGGCTTATGTCACCAAGAAGATCAGCCTTTTTGCAATTTTCAGTTATAAAATGCAAATTTTTTACAATTTTCAGTTATAAAATGGAAATTTTTTTGCAATTTTCAGTTATAAAATGGAAATTTTTTTGCAATTTTCAGTTATAAAATGAAAATTTTTTGGAAATTTTCTCCAAATTATTTGGAAAAAATCCGATTCAATCGGAGCGACAATAAAAGTCTTCTGAATTAACCTCACATA